AATCAATTCCTGCAATCCAACAGTCCCTGGCAACTGGGATCAATTGTGAAATCCTGGAAATTGTGGAGCATTTGCTGTATCTTGGGAGCCTTCTGACAATAAAGACATGCATAGAGGATGAAATTCATCACTGTCTCCAATGTGGCAGCTCAGCCTTCAGCTGCCTGACGAAAAAGTATTTGAGGGCCAGGATTTCAGTTCATGGTTTGTGATGTTTGAGCTCCAAAGGCTTGGGGACTCAGACAACCCACAACAGACACATCAGAGCACTGGAGAAGTGCCATCAGCAGTACCTTCACAAGTTGCTCCCAATCTACTGGCAAGAAAGGCATAAAACAGAGCATCCTCTCCCATGCCATCTTGTCCAGTATCGTGGTGCTAATCACTCGAAACCAGTTCTGTTGGGTGGACTACATAAGCCTGATTGCAAACTTCAGAGGTAGTACTTTAATTGAAACTCAGTTGTGACATAAAACTCCTGGGACAAACTTTAGGGACATTTTCAAAGCACCTCCAAAGGCATCAAATATCTCCACCGATTCATTGGAGTCCCTAGTTTGTGATCAACTAAAATTGAGTAGGCTCAATTGAGAAAGCACCAAATACAGCTTCCCAATCCTGTAAGCTTCGCCTGCTCCACATGTGGCTGTGAGCCGATTGCTCATTAGACTTTTCAGCTACCTGAAAACCAAAGTAACGGCAAATCATCCTTTATGATTAGTGAGTGGTTAGTAAGAAATTCCCAACACTAACACCTGCAGAACTCCATTCCATCAAAACATATATATTCACCATTATTCCTATCCCTTAGGAAATTGCATATCCAAGATACCACCAACCATCGTCATTTCTCCTCTGCTATAAATTACTTTGGCAATTACTTTTTAAAATTCCATGTATATAATATTTACTGTATCACCATTGTCAACCCTCTTTGGTACTTCATTAATAAATCAATCAGGTTAGTCAAACATGATTTCCCTTTAATAACTGTGTTGGCTGAACCTTTTTAACACATTTTTTTCAATTAAAAATTAATTTTCTTCCTACAAGTCTTAAGTAGTTTTTCCATCATCAATATTAAGCTGACTGATCTGTAGTTACCAGGTTTGTCCCTGTCTCCTATTTTGAACAGAGTGTAACACTTAACAATCCTCCACTCTCTGGCATCACTCCCATGTACAGAAAGGACTGAAAGATTGTTGTCAAAGCATCTTTTTTCTCCAGCCTTATCTCATTGTATCCAATCTGAACCAGTTGACTTGTTAAGTTTGAGTGATTCCATTAGAACACCCTTCCAATTTGTTTTGTTCTCTCCAATATCTCTAGTCCTATCTCCTTTACTGTAGCATTAATATCATCCCCTAATTTTGTGAAGACAGTGCAATATATTCAATACTTCAATCATGCCATAAACTTCCTCAAGAAGATTTTCATTGTGTATCTAATTGGGCCTTTTAACTATCTTTTTACCTGCTAAGTGTTTATAAATGATTTTGTTTTACCTCCTGTGTTACCTTAACATTTTTCAATACTGACTGTTTGCACTTTGTGAATACTTTTTCAATTTCTTTCTGCAATTTCTGGATCCTGTCTGTTCATTCCATGCCTGATGTTTGACTCATGCTTCTTTTTAATAATTTATTTTTACTTATTTTATTGTCACCAGGGAGCTTTAGCTTTAGATTCATTTCTTTTTCCTTTTGGGAATATACTTGGATTATGCATGAACTATTTCTGCCTTGAAGACATACTACTGTTCATTTACTGGGTGGAATTTAATCCAAGTGCCAGAGAACTATACTGCTGCTGGATAGCCCTTATCCTTCACCTTCAGCATTCTACATTTACACGTTGTTTTATTTAGCGGTTTGAAGGAATTTGCTGCATACAAATTAGCTGCTTTGTATGACAATTTTCAATACCCTTCTAAATTTTCCAAAGTTACAGAGTTCTTTACAGTATCCTAAGAATACAAAACAGTGCAACATAGAAACATACTTACAGCATAGTAAGCCAGTAGGCCCATTGTGTCGGTGTCAGTTGAAAGAGTTATTCAATCCAACTCACCTTCCTGTTCTTGGTCCACAATTTACATCACCTTGAGTGCACACCTAAATGTGCTTTTGGCTAAATGCAAGGAGAATTTCTGCTTCTACTAGCTTTTCAGGCAGTGTGTTCCAGATCACATTCTTTCCAGAATCCTTCCATCTACTGAAGATCATGAGCATGCAATCCATTTCAGATGGGTGTCCTCATATCTCAATTTTGCTGAAGATGTCAATCCTTAAGATGCAGGTTCTGCCACAACTATTACACAGTGATGGCCAGTGTCATAATGAGTTACCTTTAGCATTGTTATTGTTACTAAGCTATTGGAACCACTGGTCATCATGGTGGTTCACACCAGCTCAGATGAGGTGTCATCATTTTCCTCTATGATCAGCAAGTAACTCCAGGTGAGGTATTCAACGTCTAGGAAAATCATCCTTGAAACACAGTGTCGGGCATCCTTCTGTTCATCTGACTATAGAATACCTCACCATACGTATGGTCATTCTGGTCACGAAGGTTGTGATCAATTTCCATCCTGTCAAAATGCCCGAACTAATTAAACAGCCTATATTTGATGAGTGCCAGCAAAGGTGAACACTAGCAGCAATGAGACTGCTACATTCATGTTTATGTTCTGCCAAGATATTCCCATAATGCTTTGCAGACAGCCAGTGCAGCAATTGTTGAGTTTCTTATCTCGATAGTTGTAAAATATCCATGTTCACAACCAAACAGTAAGATGTTAAAAACACAGACTTTATAAGCAATTAGCTTGATCCTACGTGTCCACCTGCATCCATCTTGCCTGTTGCTACTAATGAAGAGTACTGACTAGGGATTAACTAGAGTCCTTTCTGGTCTAATGTTTTTCATATGACACTAGGTACTTTCTTTGGATGATCAAATGTTGTAGCTGTTTTCCCTATACACAAATGCCAGAAGTAATTTATTTCTTTCTATATTGAAAAGGCATTTTAGCCCTGAAATTTGTTAACTCAGATATACTAGATTTCAAATATTCCCTTACAGCAGTCTCAGATGACATTATGACATTATTTTCATCACTGTTGCAATATGCACTTTCAAAATGACACTCATTGCCCTTTAATGACATTTAAAGCTCCTTGTTTTGCATTCCTGGCTGCTGTGAATTGCTTGGATTTGTTACTGCTCATATGTTTCATTGGTTCAAAAGCTTACACCATCAGATGGCAGCATCTGACCAAAATTAAATAAAGGTTCATTGATGAAACTTTGCAGTGCAACAACTCCCTCTAGCTTCTACTTTATGTGTACATCATCTTCACAAACCTGTACTGGGAATAATATTTTAAACCAGTTTTAATATGCACAGTAATCACCCAAGTTCAGGTATAGTGGCAACCATTACAATAAACCTATTATTTCTGACCACGTCTATTGTATTATTTTTGAACTTAAGTGTCAACTTGCTGTGGATTAAAATTAAGAAACTGCATCATCTTACACAAGGAAGTCATCCGATGAGCCTGATGTGGAATAAACCTTCGTTAATTCTAAAATCCTGAGGTTCAGGTGATCACCAAAACACAGCTAGTGTCATGTGGAAAACATTTAAACCAGGAAGAACTCCAGATAATCCCTAGTCTGTACTCTTCATTCAGCAGTCAGATTGGATGCATTTGTTATTTATTAATTTATTCTCTTATTCAAGGTAACATTCCTGGAAAGGCCAGAAATTGAGAAAACTATGGTGAGCTGCCTTTTTGAACCACTGCAATTCATCCAGTGTAGGGACATTCTTGTGATTTGAACTTATCCAAGTTACATTAATCAATTTGACTTTTCTCCAACTGTTTGGTACAACTGAATGGCTTGCAAAGCCATTTCAAAAGAGTTAACAGTAAACCACATTACTGAGAGTTTGGAGTTATGGGTAGGCTTGACCAGGTAATGATGACAGATTTCCTTCCCAATAAGGGGAAGCAATGAACCAGACATGTTTTTATTATAATCTAATAAATTCATGGTTACCATTTCAGATTCCATCTTAATTCCAGATTTATTACCTCCATCTCTGAAGGTGGCTTGAGATATTTTCAGCTGTAATCTATTGGCAAACAATATGTCTTAAAAACTAATGGGCAGATTTCAATAAAACATGGTACGCATTGCATATGGCCCAAGGAATAACTGATGCATTTTTGACGATGATGAAAGGATCTGTTAATATTGGGAGATAGGGAAAATTGACTTGTTTAAGAATGTTATGATTGTCTCAGCTGCTGTGGTGGAATGTCACAGCTATCAAACGTGAGCAGAGCTCTCAGGACAGGTTGCTGTTCACAGATGGGCCTGAAGCCGCCTCCTAAAGGTCTCAGTGAAGAAAGTTATTTTTTCCACTTGCAGTTACAGAACAACCAAGACACAGGTCAAGAATGTGATGTAATACGCACCACTTGCTTGATATGTGGGGCTCCAACAGCACTCATCATCCAGGTCAAAGCAGCCCCTTTGATCAGCATCTTATTCACCAATTTAAACATTCATTTACTCCATCACCAATATAGAGACAACTCTCATGCTATATGCAACATTCACCGTAGCAACACCCAAATGCTCTTTTGATTGCACCTTGCAAACCTACAACCTAGAACACAACAGCAGATGCCTGGAACAGCAGCACCAGCAAGTTCTTCTCCAAGACACAGAGTTGGAGCTATGTTGCCTGTCCTTCATTATCACTGGGTAAAAATACTAGGACTCCTTTCCAAACTGCTCTCTGGGAGCACATGCAGCAGGTGCACTTTAGCAATTCAAGATAGCTGGTCACTAGCCCATTCTAAAGGGCAATTTCAATGGACAACAATTGCTGACCTTGCTAGCAAGGTCCTCATCCCAACAAATATAAACAAAAAAGATTTGAAAATACTAATAGATGACAACAAAATACAATAAAGCATGGATTGAGAGTAATTTATGGATGTATTTTATTGAACAGACAACAAATCACAAGCAGAGAAACTGGACTATTTTAATTATTTATAATGGCAGTCAAGAACACTGTACAGAAAAAAAGTAAGTAGTTAACAAATCTAAATCAGTAAACGGCCTGCAGAAGTTGGAGCTCTCGTCCAGTTTGTTATAGTGGGCTTTATCATAGAGCATCTCTTATTTGACAAAGAGAAACTCTATTAGGAACTCTCTTAGGGCTCTTTCAGTAGCATCACTACTCAACGAAACTTAAAATACTTCTGATTGTCATGTACTGTTTATCATAAGAGAATAATGCAGCAAAGGAGCCAGTGGAAGAAGGTGAAACTTACTTTAATCAGAAGAGAATTGTTCTTCTAAAACATTCAAAAATCAGAATACAAACATTAAAGGGGAATATGGGTCCACAGTGATCCTTGGCTATAAAAGCACGCCACAATTCTGGCTACAATGTAAAGTATGTGTTCTGTACTTGAACCCATAAAGAAGGGAATAAAAAGAGAATCATCTCAATTAATTTCAAAAATTACTATGGATAATCTGGCCATACGCTTCATGCTGCAAATCTTTTTTTTAATTATTGTGCAGCTATTATTGGCAAAGAACCAAATGCTAGTTCAATTGTTTAAAACAGATTGAATTTGCTGTCATCAATCACTGAACAAAACTCCCTTAATGCATACCCTGCCGTCTTTGTTTGCCTTCTAGACTAGATTATACGAAAATCAGACATGCCAACTGTATTAAAGGATTTTTGTCTAGCCCACACTATTTAGATTTTAATGACAGAGACATTCTAATCCTCTTGAAATCAAACTCCTACAATGAATTGTGTGGTGAAAAGCTGGATGTCACTTCCAATCCTAGTGTAATAACAATGTAAAGCCTAGAACATACAGCTCTGAACAAGTAAGGAAACATCATGCAATTAAATGCTATATTTTTCCTCTTTTGTTTTTGAATTTTCCAAATATTAAACATTTACAAAACAGTGCAATGCAACAGCAATTGGAAAATTCTTTCAGCCCGTTAGAGAATTATCGAGGACAGGGATCTTTATTTTTCTTCACACCACTGATTCTCTTTACGAACCTGTTTGAAAAAAAAGAGCAACATAGTGAAAAAGGTGCATCCAAAGAAGTGGAATCTTGTGTTCTGGGCCACAGATGGCTGTGGAAGCTCAGTCATTGGTTATGTTCAAGGCAGAAATCAACTAATTTCTAATGACAAAGGAATAGGAGGAAAGGACAGGAAATGGTGTTGAGCTAGAAGATCACCCATAATCTAGAATGGCACAGCAGGCTCAAGGACTAAAAGGGCTACTCCTGTTCTATATTCCTAAGAATTCTGCTTATATTTGAACCAGTCTAAATAAACTAGACATTTTACATGCAGAGAGAATAAAAAGTAGTAGTTACTCCCGGTTTTAGTTTGGCTCTTTGTTCATTTCAAAACCAGAAAATCTAAACTTTCAAGTGCTTTCTGCAACTATGAAATTGAAATAAAAAGTAAGAGTTGTTGTTACCTGGGCTTCTTCTTCCTCAGTAAAGTCATTTTTGATGTTGAAAGTCTTACGAATTTCTTCTGGAGTTTTACCTTTGATCATATTTGCTACTGTTTTGCACGTCACGTCAAGCAGACCTTTAATATCCAAATAGTTTGCAGCCTAAATAACAAACAAATACTGACATCTCAACTGTATATTTCCACCCTATCACCAAGCCAAAGTTAACTGAAAACAAGGTTATAGCAAAAAAGCTTACAAGTATTTTAAAACAGAATTGCAGGTAGTGATTTCTGTACATTAACAGGGATTGTAGTGTTGAAGAAACTTACTGTCCACACAGTTGACAATGGGAAGAAATTTTAACTTTATAAAAGTAGGGCCAGAAGGCCTTTTCTGTGCTCTAGATCTTTAACTTTGAGACCAACTGCACAGCCTTAGTAAATACTGTATGCTCTACTGCTTCTTTGCTAAACTCAATCTTCCTAAAATTTTCAGGAATAAATTTTCTGGATGCTACCCAAATAACCTGGCAAAAACATACTAAGGGCAATAAAAAAAACTGTTATTTTTCCATTTTATTTGAAACAGTTTGACTTGTGATTGTCACTTAAAATTTTCGTCACTTCCGAATGATGTTGGGTTTCTCTTTTTGCATGTGTGCACTTTGCGCCACCTAGAGGTGATGTTTCAACCATTCCCAACTCGAAAAGATCTCAGTGGATGTAGAACTACAATGAAAGGTTTCAGAGGAGTGAGATAATAGAGGGAGGTGAAGGGTGAGAAGAAATTGGGACATTGGGAAACTGAAAATTCAGCTAGTACAGAGAAGACAGAGATGAATAAGTGCACATTGGGATCAAGAACACACACGTTTTGATTCAGATAGTAGGGGAATGATATCAGACCAAAAGGAGCTGATGCTGTCATTAGAGCACGAAGACAATAGCTTGCATCACTGATACTTAGCTGGAGAAAGCTAGAACTCATTCAAGATAGAAATGAGCTGTCACAATTACACACATAAGGCAATGGGGGCAAAACAGGAGGTGGAAAGGAACAGCTGAGCATTTATCGAAGTTAATGTGTGAAGCTAATATCATGTCAATGGATAATACTGTTGAAAAGTAGCACGTAGAGGAGGGAGCCAAAGATAGATCCATTTTGAGAGGTATGGATCTCTGCCGAGAATAACACAGAGGCGAGAAGAGAAACTATTGCTAGGTTGCCATATCTACTATCAGATAAAAGAATAAAATCAAACGAGAGCCACCTTACAGAGTGACTCCACAGAGAAGTACCGTTTGGAAGGTGCGGGTTATTGTACTGAAATCTGTCAAGGTCAGAGTACAAGGAAAGATAACATACATGTCAGAGAAACAAGGCTGTTTGTTCTTAAACAAAAACAGAAAGTGTTGAAGAAACTCAGCAGGTCTGGCAGCATCTGTAAGAGAGACAGAGTTAGCATTTTAAACATTAACTTTGTTTTTCTCTCCAGATACTGCCAGACCTGTTGGGTTTCTCCACTACTTTCTGTTTTTTTGTTTCAGTTCTCCAGCATCTGCATTTCTTTGTTTTATTCTGCTGCTTGCTCTTACTTGGAATGGACTGTTTCAATACTGTGGCAGTGAGAAAAGCCTACGGGGGCTGAACAGAATAAAGTTCAATGCTGCTATATAATGAGCCACTAGGAATCAAACATAAGTAGCCTGCAAAAGTTGGTGCTTAGTTTCTTTCAAAATCCCTGTGGAAATACGCTGCTCTGCTACCAAGCAAAATTAGAAATTCACATTCAAATATACATCCCATTTATGGTACACTAATGCGCAACCCTTTTGGAAATCAGAATTGATTGATAATGGTTCAAAAAAAGTCAGGAATAAATTTTAAGCTCAGTTTTAGCACAAGAAATTTAGAATTTTACACTTTTTAATGATCATGGGCTGGCAGATTCTGGCATCATGGTGAAAGATGCTCCCCATGGCAAGTTATTGATCACGGCCTCTATCCATGATAGAGAACAAGAGAAATGAAATGGGCAGTTGACTGAAGTAGATTAGAGGTTCATCTAGAGAACCTGGAGACTGTCTAAATATAGAAGTCAAACTGCCACACAAGCAGACTGGAAGCGAAAAGAATAAATTTACAGTTTTCGTTAATAGACTTTAAAAAAAATACTGACCAGAATTAGCTCAAACAGTGTTCCTTGGTCTACTTTGAGGAATTCCTGATCCCATACTGGAATATCATCTGTTCTCTTTTCTTTGTTCTCATCATCTTCAGGAGGGGGCGGATCATCCTTGTGGTGAGTGCACCACTGAATCACCTAGAAGCAACAATAGATGGATAGGCGTATATGGATGAATGAAAAATGTGGAACTAGAAAAAATTTGGACGAACAAAGAGGAATGAAATCTTCACTACAATACCAGAGTTCTATTTTGCCATATATAACAACGCACTTTATCTTGTAGGCTTTGGGAAGATTAAAAAAATAGTAACTTTCTAATGAATTTTGTTACGGTTATTGGTGCCAGGAATTGAATTCTTTCCACTTTGCATACCTATTTAATTGTATCAATCCTAGATAAATCACAGATAAGCTCCCTTTAATCTGCTAAACCTCAATCTCAAAAAAGAACCTGTTGTGATGTGAATGTAAATTTTACTTTACTGCTTATTGCTACACTGTGTCACAAGCTTTTAACTTGTAGGAACTGGGTTGACATTTCCCTACCCAAGTAACGTATGTTGTTGCAGATAAAGGGGAACCGGGGATGTACTGCATTTAGATTTCCAGAACACATTGAATAAGGCCACATCAAGAGGTTATTGAGAAAAATAAAAACGCTGTGTAGGGGATAAAACAGTGGCATCCATAGGAGATTGGCTGGCTAACAGGAAGCGCAGAGTAGGAATAAATGAACCTTTCTAATGCTGGCAGGATGTCACAAATGATGTGCCACACAGGTTGGTTTGGGGCCTCAACAAGCATTCCTCGTTTTTTTTTTGCTTCTGCACAAACCTGAGGTCTGTTTGCTTCCAAAATCAGAAGTCAATGCTGTAATCCCCGTCAGCATGCCAAATGCCATGCAAGGAATATTACAGCAGCTGCACACACAGTTTAGAGGGAACGCGAGTCTCCATTCTTTACTATTGATATGAAGGATTTGGATGAAGGGCTGACAGCCTGTTTGCTAAACTTGCCAATTACACAAAGATAGATAGGAAAATGAATTATGAAGAGGACATAAGGTGCCTACAAAGGGATATAGATAGGTTAAGTGAGTGGGCATAGATTTGGCAAATGGAGTACTAAGAAGAAAAATGTGAAATTGCTCATTTTAGCAGAAAGAATAAAACAGTACATTATCTAAATGGCTAGAGGTTGCAGAGCTCTAAGAAAATAAAGATCTGGACATTTTAGTGTATGAGTCACAGAATATTAGCATGCAGGTACAGCAAGTCATCTGGAAAGCCAACAGTGTGTTGTGTTTTATTGCGAGGGGAATTGAATGCAAAAGTAGGGGAGGTTTTGCTTCTTCAGAATGAGATCACATCTGCAGCCTTGCGAACAGTTATGGTCACCATATTTATGGAAGGATACTAATGCATTGGAGGCAATTAAAGAAGGATTATGAGACTAATACCTAGAATGAACAGCTTGTCTCATGAGGAACAAAGAGAAAGGCTAGGCCTTTAGTTTAGAAGAGTCAGAGGTGACTTAACGGAAACATGCAGATCACAAGCAGACTTGACCGGGTGGATGTCAAAACGACACCTCCTCTTGTGGGAGAATCAACAAGTAGGATCAGAGTTTAAAAATAGGGGGTCACCCAATTAAGACAGAGATGAAGAAACTTTTTCGTCTTTCTGAAGGTTGGGAGTCTTTGGAATTCTCTTCCTCAAAAAGGCAGCTGATGCAAAATGTTTTAATATTTTTAAAAGGTAGAGCTAGATAGATTGATTACTAAGTCGATCAAAGATTATCAGGAATATATCAGGATTGTCAAATTGAGGTTAAAATCAGATCACCTAACACCTTATTGAATGGCAGAGCAGACTCGAAGAGCCAACTGGCTTATTCTTGTTCACTGTTCGCGTGCCCATAACCCATTTTTCACAGCCTTTCAACTCAGAGAACTAAGTTTTTATTTCACTAGCCAAGGCTGAATTCAAATCCAGATCGCAGCAAACAAAGTACAACTTTTGACCCACTACATCAATAATGTTCTGTAAAATCCACACAAATACTACAGCACAAAAAAAATGCTGCAGCAGCAGGAAATCTAAAATGAAAGCAGAGAATTCCAGAAACGCTCAGCAGGTCAGGTAACATCTCTGATGAAAATGTTAACATTTTTGATCTGTCAGAGCTAAGAAATGCAGGAGATGTAATATGTTTTAAACATGTGAAAGGGAAGGTATAAAAACAAAAAGAGGAAAGACTGGTGACAGGGTAGGAGTCAAGATTAAGGGACAAACAATTTGATGGTGTATAGCTAAAGGATGCAGTAATGACGCAAGTTAAGAAACAATGGATACGACAGAATGATGACCAGCTATCGTCCAAAAGCAAAATAAGGGCAAAAACAAGAGAGAGTGGTCCTAAACCAGCAACGAAGTTGTACTCTGAAATTGTTGAACTCAACATTCCATCTATGCACCTGAAAGTCAAGACACCTTTGTGTTGAGTGTCATCGGAACATGGTAGTACCCCAATGACAGAGATAAGATTGCCAGAAAGGTGGAGAATTAAAACAACAGGGGACTGGAAGCTTAGTCATGCTTGCATACTGAATGGTGGTGTCCTACAGAGGCCCAAACCACATTTGGTCCTCCCAACATAAAGCAGGCTGCATCGTAAGCAGTATACTAGATTTAAAGCAGCACATGTAAATCACAGTTTCATCTGGAAAACGTGTTTGGGACCATGGGCAGTGAATAAGTTAAAAAGCAAATGTTGTATTTCCTGCGGTTACACAGAAAAGTGCTGTCCGAAGGGAACCGAATGCTCAGTGTGACTGAGAATACTGAAAAGGGAGGTAAACCTGCGTTTGGCAATGGCATCAAGCTAGAAGAGGCAGAAAGATGGTCTGTTGTACATGGAGATACATGGAGTGGAGGACGAGGATAGGAGGAACTCCAACACAGCTCTGGAAAGGAGAGCAGAAGGAAGAACATATCTGAAGGGTGTATCAACTATGATGGCAGGGAAATCCTCACTCAAGAAAACACGATATGGAAGACTGTCATTAGAACACTTCTTTTAATTCTAAAAATTAACAGTTGGTTTAAAAGAATCATTTCAACTTTTTTTCCTGTGTGGGGGTAATCCCATGCAACTCCTAGGTCTCATGCAAATATTGACAAATCATAGGAGAGCTCATTTTCCAAGGAGAGAATGAATTGTACAAAGGAAATCAGTGCAGAAAATAATTATGTGAATATTTATGAATATACAGCAGGAAATAATGGGCTAGTGATCAAATATTTAAAAAATCATAAAAACAGAACACAAAATTCTCAAGACAACACTTGGAAATAAGGAGGTTTGCGCAACAATTGAATTAAAATTGGTGACACCATGAACCTACAGAAAAGCTTACATTGAGAACTGCCTCATCCTTAAGATGTCTGAAGTGTTTGAAATTCAATTAAGTATGGTCACGGTTGGTATAGCAGTAAATTTGAGTTAACGTGTACATTGCAAATTCCTCCTCAAACAGCAAGCATGCAGTTTATCTAGATTTAAATGATGTTGGTAGGGTAGGAATGTTGATGAGGAAACCAGAAAAATTACCTATTTAAGCAGAGCCATGCTATCTCATACCTAGGTTTGAAATTTTTATCTAGGTTTAAAATCTAATCCAAATTGTGGTTACACTGACAATGTTGTGTTCCTTCTATACTACATTAAAATAGCTGGAGTGACACTTCAACTCTCAATCATTACCAACTGAACCAATCTTAATAACATCTTCATGAAGAATTCTCTCTCCACAGAATATTACCCAAGACCTACGTTTAAGATGACAAGACACAGGAGGAGAAATAGGCCATTCGGCCCATCAAGTCTCCTCTGCCATTCAATGACATCATGGCTGCTCTGATAATCCTCAACTCCACCTTCCTGCCTTATCTCCATTACCATTGCTGATTAAAGTTCTGTCTATCTCAGATTTGAATAATTTAGAACAACCAAGTCTGTACAGACCTCTGGGGTACAGAATTCCACAAATTCACTAGCCTCAGAGAAATAAAAATGCTCACCTGTCTGAAATGAGTGTTCACCTTACTCTAATTATGCCCTCCAGTCCTAGACTCTCCCACAAGGGAGAAGCAAAATCTCTACATCTACAGTATCAAGCCCCCAAGAATCTTATATGTTTCAATATGGTCTCCTCTCATTCTTTTGAAGTCCATTTAGTTCAAGCCAAAACTATTTAGCCTTTTCTCATTAGGAAATCCCTCTATATCTGGAATCAACCTAATGAATCTTCTCTGCACTGCCTCTAACGCCAGTAAATCTTTCTTTGGACAAGGGGACCAAACCGGTTCACAGTATTCCAGGTCTGGTCTGGCAAGTGTCTTCTATAGCTTTAGCAGGACTACATATTTTTATATTCCATTCCCTATGAAATAAAGGCCAACAGTCCATTTGTCTCCCTGCTGACCTTGGGATGCTTGCTTTACTCATTTAAATCATATTCAACTCTTCTATTCTTTTTGCCAGATTGCATAACCTCATATTTCACCACATTATATTCCACCTGCCAAGTGTTCACCCTCTCATTCAACCTATCTATATTCCTCTGTAGACTGTGTCCGCTTCACTACTTGCCTTCCCAACCTATTTTTGTGCTACCCACACAAACTTTGTGGTAGTACATTCACTTTACTCATCTAAGGTGATTAATACATATTGTAAATAATTGTTTCCCCAGCACTGTACCCTGTGAAATTCCACTAGTTACAGGTTGCCACCTTCAAAATGCCCCCTTACCCTATTTCATTCTTCTATTAATTAGCCAATCCTCTATCAATGCTAATATGTCACCTCCAATACCATGAACTCCTATCTTATCAAATATCCTTATTTGCGGCAACTTTTCAAGCATGTTTGGAAATCAAAACATATTACGTCCACTTGCTCCCCTTTATCTATCCTGCTTGTTACCTCCTCAGAAAACATTATAAATTGTCAGGCTTGACCTCCCCATCATGAAGCTATGCAGACTCTGCTCGATTACGTAATGTATTTGTAACTGCTCTTCAATTACCTTTTATAATGGACTTATTTTCCCAACAACAGATGTTAAGCTAACTGGCCTATATCTACTAAGATTATTTTTGACTCCCTCCCTGTTTTGCCTATGGGTGTTATACTGGTACCTTTCCAATCTTCTGGGACTTTTCCAAAATCTAAGAATCCTTGGAAGATCTACCAGCACTTCTACTCCCTCTGTAGCTATTCCTTCAAGATCCTAGGATGAAAACCATCAGGCCCAAGGGACTTCGTAGCCTTTAGCTCCATTAGATTCCCTGGAACTTTTTTTTTCTCTCTCCAGTGAGTGTTATAGTGTTCATTTCCCCACACTACCACCATTGAAATGCCATTACTGTCCTTCATTGTGAAGACGGATGCAAAGTATTTATTCAACTCCTCTGCCACTTCCTGGTTCGCCATTTCCACAGTCTCATTCTTTTAAGGTTCCTATGTTCACTGTGGCCTCTCTCCTATATTTAATATATTATATTTAAAGAAGCTCTCACAGTCTAGTTTGCCTTCGTAACTTAATTTCTCCTTTTTTTTTGTCATTTTTCATTGGTATTTAAAGATTTCCCAATCCTCTGCTTTACCACTAATCTTGGCAACATAGTATCAATTTGAAAGGAAAAAAACACACAATCAAGTTCCCTGGTTAACTGTGGTTGATTTATACCCTTCCTAGAATCCATCTTTCTCCCTGGGATGTATCTGTGCTGGGAATCAAGAACTAGTTTCTCAAATATCTGACAACGTTCCTTAACCGCCTTTTCCACTAAACTCCATTCTCAGTCCACTCCAGCCTAGTCTGCCCTCATCCTTATATAATTACCTAATTTAAGTTCAGTACAATCATTCCTGACCCAAATTATTCATTTGCAAACTAAATGCTAACTTCTACTACATTATGGTCATTGGTTCCTAGGGTATCTTTTACTCAGAGATCATATATTAAATCTACCTCAATACAAATGACATATTCTCAGGTTTTACTCACACACTGAAGTAATGTTGTTCTGCCTTCTTACCTTTTTCAGAATTGCAGCATTGACATTTGGGAGTGGAACAGGATCATCATCACCTTCATCATCCATCCCCAAATCTGTTTAGAATAATACATGATTATTTAACTGTCTGTCATTATCCATCATGCTTTCCTCACTTCACACATAGAAAGTTAGCATGTTTTCAGTATTAAGTGCTTCAATCCCCCCCATCCCATCTATGTACTAAAATATGCTTAAAATATTGATACCCATTGACTCCATTCAAGTCTTCAGCATAACAATGCATCTAAGACCAGTCACCAAGGTAAGAGGAGGTCAATGAGATCAAAAAAGCCAAAATCCAGAAAGTGTGTTCTATCTTAGGAAGGTAACACTTTACGTCTGCTGTTTGTTAAGCATATTCTTAGAACACACTGAGATTTTGTGACAGTCAGTCAAGTGTGCCAATTAGGAGAGACTGGAAAAAAGGTTTGATTTGCCTGTCTTCTCATTATCCAGATTAGGGTAAGAACTGAAAGAAAAACAATAAACGGGTCTTTACAAAAAAACCTGAAATTTAAACAAACAATCAGAAAGCAAGATGAACAAGGTTATTTTATGCATTCATTAAATATTCACAATTTTGGTATTGGTTTAGGTCATCTTACACTTGTTATGAGAAACTCCATTGAAAAATATCATTACTACTTTAAATAGTTATCTTCTATACGCAGATAATCCTTACTGAACCTAAAAGGCATAAATTAGCAATTGTAAATCAAAATTTGTTCAAACTTTGCACTTTATTAAATAAAGAAGCTTGAGGTTGCTAAAGGATAATTAACTAGTAAACAAGATTATTTCCAAAGAGAAAAATGCTGACCCTCCAACATGGTCTTGATTGTCACAGACTGCTTTGCTATCTCCACATCAACTTCAAATATTTCTCCATCAGAGCTCTGGAGTTTAATCGAAGGCATCTGAAAGTAAAAATAGGAATTTCAGGGTGCTAAAAGTCACCACCAGCTGTTGAATTCTGCCCCACCCCAAAACCCGTCCAAAAATACAATGCACACAACTTAAGCAAGGCGCTTTTCCATCACTGAAAAAATACTGAATTTTGAACTTTAAATTTGAGTTGCACAATTCACTGCAGGAGGCTTGCTGGTGGCACTTGGCTTAAGGCAACACTTACAAATCTTAATGCGATGGGTTCAAGTTCCACTCCAGAAAACTGAACACATAATTCAAGCTTGCAGCAACATATTGATGGATTGTTGCATTTACAAGGGTAGCACCTTTCACACAAGAAACTCAAGTATATGCACCTCCAAATCCTAGCCAACCTTTACTCTCAACCAACACCTCGAAGCAGATGATTTAGGCATGATCAATGCATTGAAAGCAAAACCAGATAAATAAATGTGGGGGAAAGGATATTTTATGAGGTAAAGCAAGGTCAGATGTGGTGTTAATTGTTTAAATGTTTTCTAATCAACCAGTCCAGGGATGTGAAAATACACCTCTGGAGCAGGTAGGACTTGAATCTGGGTCTCCTGGCCCAGAAGATGGGACAATACTACTGCACCATAAGAGCCCCTGATATTAATTGTATTTTGAGTGTATTTAAAGAACAAAAAAGAACAAAAGAGAAGTATGGCACAGGAACAGGCCCTTCAGCCCTCCAAGCCTGTGCCAATCATCAGGCCCTGATTAAATTTGAAAAAAAAACCCTTCTAAACTTATTCTGTCCGAATCCCTCTATTCCCTCCCTATTCATATAACCATCAAGGTGCCTCTCAAGCAATGTGAACATGCCTGCTTCCACCACCTCCTCTGGCAGTATTCCAGGCTCCTACCACTCTCTGCGTGAAAAACTTTCCCCGCGCATCTCCCTTAAACTTTTGCCCTCTCACCTTGAACCTGTCCCCTTGTAATTCAAACTTCAACTTTGGGGAAAAAGCCTCTGACTATCCATCCTATCCATGCCTGTCATAAATTTGTAGACCTCTATCAGGTATCCTCTCAGCTGCTGTCTTTCCAGTGAAAACAATCCAAGTCTTTTAACCTTTCCTCATAGACAATACCCTCGGGATCGGGCACAATCCTGGTGAACCTTCTCTGCACTTTCTCCAAAACTTCCACGTCTTTCTGGTAATGTGGTGACCAAAACTACACACAATACTCCAATCTAATAGGGGTTTTATATAGCTGCAACATGTTTTGCCAACTCCTGTACTCCATGCCCCGGCTGATGAAGGAAGCATGCCATATGCCTTTTTAATGACTTTGGCCACCTATATTGCCACTTTTAGGGAACTGTGGACCTGCACACCCAGATCCAATTGTATATTAATGTTTTTAAAGGGTTCTTCCATTAACAGAATAATTCACACCTAAATTTGATCCTCCAAAATGCATCACCTTGCATTTGTCTGGATTAAACTCCAACTGTCATTTCAGTGCCCAAGTCGCCAATCTATCTATATCCTGTTGTATCCTTTCACAATCGTTGGCACTATCAGCATCTCCACCAATCTTTGTGTCATCTGCAAACTTACTAATCAGACCATCCACATTTTCGTCCTGATCACTTATATATACTACAAACTTCAGAGGACCCAAGACTGATCCTTGTGGAACACCACTAGTTACCAGTCTCCATTCTGAAAATCTCCCCTCCACCGCTGCCCTCTGTCTAGTATGACCAAGCCAGTTTTGTATCCATCTAACCAGCCCACCCCGAATCCCATGTGATTTTAGTTTTAGTACCTATCTGCCATGTGGGACTTTATCAAATACCTTACTAAAGTACATATAAACTACATCCACAGCTCTTCCCTCTCAATTATCTTTGTCATCTCTTCAAAAAATTTGATCACGTTGGTGAGACATGACCTCCCCCATACAAAACCATGCTGCCAGTCGCTAACTAGTCCATTTTCTTCCAAATGTGCATCCCTCAGTATCTTCTCCAAGAGCTTCCCCACCACAGATGTCAGACTCACCAGCCTATAATTCCCTGGATTACCCCTGCTTCCTTTCTTAAATAAGGGAACAATATTGGCTAATCTCCAGTCCTCTGGAACCTCGGCTGTGGTCAAGGAGGGTTTGAAGATATCTGCTAAAGTCCCAGCTATTTCTTCCCTTGTGTCTCACAATAATCTGGGATAGATCCCATCTGGCCCCGGGGTCTTGTCTACTTTAATGCAATTTAGGATACCCAAAACTTCCTCCTTTAATATGTTGACATTCTCTAGCGTATTCACACACTCATCCCTGACCTCAACATCAGTCATGTCCTTCTCCTCGGTGAATACCAATACAAAGTAATAAATTGGTAATAAATACAAGGTATTTATTAAGGATCTCTCCACTTCCCGTTGCTCCACGCATAAGTTCCCTCCTTTGTCCTTGAGGAGCCCTATTCTCTCCCCCGCTACCCTCTTTCTTCCAACGTATACATAGAAAGCCTTGGGATTCTTCTTGACCTTGTTTGCTAAAGACATTTCATGGCCCCTTTTATCCTTCCTGATTCTGTGTTTAAGTTCCTTCCTAATTTCTCCATACTCAAGGGCTCTGTCAGTTTGTAGCTGCCTAGATCTATCGTATGCTTCCTTTTGACTAAGTTTACAATTTCTCTTGTCATTCATGGTTCCTGAATCCTACCATTCCTATCTTTCAGTTTTGCACTTTAAGCAACATGTCTTTAAAAGCCTCCCACATGCCAGATGTAGATTTGCCCTCAAATAACTGCTCTCAATCCACATTCCCCAGTTCTTGTCTAATATGGATGCAATTGGCCTTTCCCCAATTAAGCACTCTCACCCAAGGGCTACTCTTGTCCTTGTCCATGACTACTGACAATCTTATGGAGTTATGGTCACTAAGACCAAAATACTCTCCTACTGAATCATCAATCACCTGTCCTGGCTCATTCCCTAATCCCAAGTCTAGTACGGCCTCCTCTCTGGTTGGATTGTCAACATACTACCTCAAAAAGGTCTCCTGGACACATCAAACAAATTGTTCTCTACCCGAGCCCCTGGGTCTAAGGGAGTCCTACTCAATAAGAGGGAAGTTGAAGTCACCCACCACAACTACGTTGCCTTTTTCACACATTTCTGGTATCTGGCTACATATCTGCTCCTCTGTCTCACATGGCCTGTTAGGTCTCCAGAAAACTCCCAGCATTGTGATTTCACCCTTCCTACTCTTGAGCTCCACCCATAATGCCTCAATGCAAGATCCCTCTGATGTATCCTCCCTCAACACAGCTGTGATGTGATCCCTAGCCAGAATTGCAGCTTCCCCACCCCTTTGCTTTCCCTTTCTGTCCCGTCCAAAACAGCAACATCCTGGAATGTTAAGCTGCCAGTCCTGCCCCTCCTTTAACCATAATGGCAATAACATCATAATTCCCTGCAGAAATCCATGCTCTTAGTTCACCTGTAGGCAAGTGGTAGGATTTAACTAGGAATTTAGTTTTACTCCAATAAACAGGAACAAATTGAAACTGTGGTTGCTGGACCAAGAAACGCATGTTTTCAATGTGTATCTCGGTTAATAAAGGTTATAAAATGTTGAAATATTGGTTCCAGTTCTATCCTTCACCGCCTGGCTCTCTGGGATAGAACAGAAACTCACGTAAAGCATACATACCAGAATACATGTGTTAGACTGAGCGACCTATTCAGCATTGAAACATTCCATGTCATTGCATAAATTAAAGTTAAGTTAACCTTCATGAAGCAGATGGACAAAAGTGATGTGGATACGAAGTGCACATATTTAATCCATCATTCTCACGTTCAAAACTACCAAGTGGAACTTTACTCCATATTTTTTCTTAATCATGGAGTTGACACTTAGCATAAAATTTGGAAGAAACATAGCTAATGTATACAGTACATTTAATTTCTTACTGCAAATAGGCCGTGGATGAAATGTTAAAATTAGCAAACAGGTTGGACAATTAGAAGGGGATGCAGGGAGAGAGAGAAATAGGAGGAAAACAAAATGCCAGATCGAACAGGGAAAGAAATGAGGAACAAAAACAATAAGGGAACGAACAGAATGTAGGAGCAAATTACTACAGATGCTGGAATCCGTACTAAAAATAAAAAATGCTGGAGATCACAGCAGGTCAGACACCATCCATGGAGAGAAAGCAAGCTAATGTTTCAAGTCTAGATGACTCTTCATCAGAGCTGACATCAAGCGTGGAGGGGGCAGATTTATGCAGTTGGGAGGGGGGGTGGGGTCAGGGGTGTGGCTGTTGGAGTGCTGGGGGTGAAAGGACATTGAAAGTTCAGATTAATTGATTGGAATGGGAGAATGGCAGAACAATGGTGTGTCTAACTGCCAGGAAAGAATATACAGTCCCACAAGAGTAGGGAGAGGGGAGGCAGGACATGGTTGCAGAGAATGTAACAAGGAAAGCTAAAAGAAAGGGAGGAATGGGTTCACAATTTGAAGGTGTTGAACTCAATACTGAGCCCAGAAAGTTGTAAAGTGCCTAGTTTGAAAACGAAACGTTGCTCCTCAAATTTTTGCCATGATCCACAGGAACATTGCAGCATACCAAGGGCAGACAAGTGGGCCTGCGAGCATGAACAAACACACTGATAAAACAGAAGTATTAAAACATGGTTAAAAATAAAATAAATAAAATTTCTAAAGATAAATCAAACATTTGAGAAACATATACCTATTACAAAATAAAAAAAAAGAGGAACTGGAGGCAATAAGCAGTGAGAAGGCAGATGTAACAGAATACAGTTATAAAAGGATAGGACTGAAGAGTGTAGATTATATCATGAGATAAGACAGGGAGGGAAGGAAGGGCGGAGGTAGGATTGCAGGCACGCTAATTAGATAGCAATGGCATTAGAAAAAAGAAGCTATGACTAAAAAGGTAGATTAGACGGCAAATTGCCACATAGAGAGAAGGTGGAGCAGGGCATGTGTATCCAAATATGGCAAATGAGTATAACAAAGAACAGTCTTGTATGG